ATGGGGAGTTGGTACATGTACATAACACATCTTTTTTTATAACACTTCTTTTTTTTCACTCCTACACTTTCCCTTCCTTCTTGCTCTTTCCAACTCTTGGTCCTATTCCCATTTGCAAAAACTCCATTTTCGTCATATTTTTGCCCTTTGATTCTTTTTGTTTCCATCCCCTTTCCCTCCTCTCCCTCTTCCTTCCTCTATCTCTTGATCCCCTATTCATTTGAAAAGAGATCTCCTTACTTCCTATTTATCTATCATATATATGATAGATATGATATAGTTATCATATATTATATATATAACCCTATATATATGATAGGTCATATATATTTCACTTAATATTATGGTCTCAAATTACATCCATTTTCCTACAAATGCCTCAACAGATGAATGGTTAAAGAAAATTTCCATCTGTTTTCTGTCCCTCTCACTTGAAGGGGAGCCGCAGAGGAGCAGGGCTCTCAGCTAGCCTCCAGCACGTAGGTGTCTAATCTTTTGGCTCCCTCAGGCTGCAGTGTGTGAAAAGGGATTGTCTTGAGCTGCATATAAAATACATAACATAGTTTATGTATATGAATAACAAGCCTTCCTTTTATAGTTTTTAACTTATTAAATTATTTTATGAAATAACATAAAACCCAATTGTAATAATTAGAAAAGAAAACTTACATGATTGCTTAATGACAATTAACACCTGTCTTCAAAGGCATACACAGGTAGGTATATTTAAGTACTATTATTGGTGATCTCTGCATTTTACTCAGCAAGTTGCCCAAGCACATGTAACCTCTGTTACAGAGGTTTAAATTTGACTGACTGTGTGTGTCAGATGCATCAGGCAGGGTTAGCTCTACACTTCGCCACACACACACACACACACACACACGTTTTCTGCTGTCTTTGACACAGTTCATACTTGAATATTACACAATTGAGCCATTAAAAATACTACTAAAAACAACAATGTTAAAAGCTTACACCCTTGCAGAGCCACATTATTAGCTGTCCAAGGTTGCATGTGGCCCAAAGGCTGTGTGTTGGACACACCTGCTCTAGCACATACCCAACACAGAGTGGTTCTATCTCTCATGACAAGCCAGTCCTGCTTACTGACTAGCTGACTAGCTGACCTGCCTGTCCTTTACTTGAAAACGTCAAGTCCTAGGGCTAAGCCCTGCTCTTTCTCATCTGCTGCCATCACCCAGAATCTAGATCTCCCCCTGTGACCCTGTGGTGACTCAGTGATGCCCACTATATGACCTATGAGGACAGTAACTGTTTCCTGAGCTGCTTTCTGTGTCTGTTCCTATGGCTACATTTCACTGATCATCACATGAGAGAACAGAACTCGTGTGTGTGTATGCGTGTGTGTGTGTGTGATTAAAGTGAAATTCATATGACTAACACTATTTTGGGATTAACATATAAGATTAATCATTAACATAAGATGAGCAAGTCAGTGGCATCTAGTGCATTACCATTGTTAAACAACCACCACATATATCGAGTTCTAAACCAATTGTATCACCCTAAAAGAAAACCCCATACAGATAAGAGATATTCCCCACTACCTCCCCAGGCCCTGGCAAACCCTAATGTGCATTCTATCTCCATAGATTTGGCTATTGTGCGTATATCCTATAAATAGAATCATAATCATACAGTATTTTTATCTGGCCTCTTTCACTGAACATAGTATTTACAAGGTTCATTCACACTGTAACAGTATTCAGTACTCTATTACTGAATAATATTCCAATGCATGGATACATCATACTGCTTTTCCATATATCTGGTTTTTTTCCATGTATCAGTTGATAGATATTAGATTGCTTGTACTTTTGGTTCTTAATGCTACTATAAGTGATTAGCATTTGTGCCATTTTATACACCCACCGGTCATGTCCAAAGGTTACAGTTTTGTATATTCTTGTCATTCTTATAAATTATTATCATCTTATTGGTGTGAAGTGGTGTTTCATTGTGGTTTGATTTATATTTCCCTAATGACTAAGGATGTTGAGCATACTTATGTGATTATTAGCCATTTGTAGAGTATCTTCTTTGAACAAATGTCTACTCAAGGGCTTAGAAATTATTTTAAATTGGGTTTTATCTTTTGTTGTTTCAATAAATATTTCTGTAATGAATGAATATATATGATTTGGCTTTACATGACTAAAATCCTACTACCTAGAAACAAGTGTCCTATCATCCCCAAATCATTTTTTCAGCCAATCATCCAGATCCGTTGTACCCAATATACACTTCATTCTCAGATTCTACAAATTATCATTTCTCTCTGGGAATGTTTCTCTCTCTCTCTCTCTCTCTCTCTCTCTCTCTCTCTCTCTCTCTCTGTATGTGTTGGTTTTATGTCTCTCTATCTCTGTCTGCCCCCTACTATGGAGTGTTTATGTTGCTTTCTCCCTTTGTCTTTGCCTTTCTCTGTGTACATCTCTTCTAATGCAATGTCTTTGTATACATGTTTCTGTGACTCATTAATTTTCTGGCTCTGTAAATTGCTGGTAAAACTCATTAATATCTAATCCTCAGACATAGTTCTGCTCTTCTAAACCCTGATTGGCACTTGATATCCCCCCAAAGACAGGATGGAAAAGCTGTAGAGAAGATACCAATATGGGTGCTCCTGAGTGTCAGACATATTACATAGCCAGTCTCATTCTAGGATGCACAAGTGCTTACAAGAATATCAGAACACTGATAATATATTTGATTGGTTTAAGGATGAATGCATGACCTATGCCAGGCCAATGAGAGTGAGTTCTGATGCTAAGTTGGCACTACTGGTTTTGGTAGGATAGAAGAAGAAGATACTCTCTACTATCCCTTAGCAATTATGTAGCTTCTTCAGCTGGATCTGGGAACCATGTCAATACAAGGCTGATTAACTAGACAAAAGTATATAAGATTACTAAGTTTCTATACATCAGGATTTTCACAAGAGGATAATGTCTGAAGAAACATACAAAAGAAGATTCTTTATGCTTGTTAGACAAAGGACAATCAATTCATGAAGGAATAACAGAACAAGTGGAATTCTGGACTGATACAGTAAATTCTAGGGGTGTGTCTAAGTGATATGTGGGGCAAGTTATGAAAGTCACTGGAAGACAAGGATTACTCCAGTGAGTTCATTCAGGTTTATTATAGTCCCAAATACCAGTATCTGATGAATAAGGTTGTGGGTCTGTAGTGCTATGAGGTATAGTGAAAGGGGAAAGTGCTGAGGATTAATGCATTAAGGTCACCTCAGTATAGGAAAAACACTACTCCCAAAATAATCTTTATCACTTGTCAGGTATAGGAAAACACAAACAAATGGCCCTCCTGAAGTTATAGTTCCTCATGTGATTCCAGCTTGAAATAATCAACATACTATTCTGGCATATTTTGAGATGATACATCATTAACTTCTGGTGGGTTTTTTTTGGTTCCAGGGATCGAACTCGGGACCTTGCACTTGCAAGGCAGGCGGCGGAACCACTGAGCTAAATCCCCGACCCCAAGATGATACATCATTAACTTCTTCATAAGCTAGAAAGACTACGTAGCCAGAGCTGGTGGGCAATACATAAAAAATGCTTTCAGCCCTTTGCCTCCGGACTTCACTGGGGCTAGCAGCCGCCCGACCAAGGGCCCGGAGCCACGGGCTCAGCGGACGACCATGGGCTCAGTGTCCAACCAGCAGCTTGCAGGTGGCTGCGCCAAGGCGGCGGAGAAGGCACCCGAGGAGACGCCGGCGGACACAGCCCGGGCGGCGGACGAGCCGCAGCCGCTGCACGGTGCAGGCATCTGTAAGTGGTTCAACGTGCGCATGGAGTTCGGCTTCCTGTCCATGACCGCCCGCGGCGGAGTCGCGCTCG